GGCTTTTATAAAAATAACTAGGCATATAATGTCAATGACTTATGTGTAGAACCACTGATGATTAATGTCTTTATAGTAGTTTATTTTTACGTATACCCAATCTGTCTGTCCGACTTGTGCACGCGTGACGTTAAGCGCCAGCTAGACACGCTTTTAAATGGATATAATCTTTTTTATTTGCCTATCAGTTTACATGAAATAGATACTAAATGTTAATCCAAATTTGTTATAATGCACCCCCTAAAAGGAAATTCGAATTGATTCAACTATTGTGGAAATTAGCGAACACAAACACACAGGCAAAAACTTTTAAAACTGATGTTTTAAGTTTAGTAGCGTGTCTTCAGTAAATAGCACTATTATACTTTTAAGTGTTAAAAGCACAGATTCAGATTATTTACGATTTTATCATTATGTATTAATTGCATTATTTCTTGTTTTGTGTAATAAAGATCACATCACTTTATTAATGAGTTCTCAGAGGTACATACAACTCAAAACTGATATTCGCCTATTATGGGCGAATCGCGTCAGCGTTGGTAGTCATTGTCATAGATCGCCGTTGCGTCACTCCTGTCGTAGTTAAATCGGGGCTTCATTTAAAATGGTTTTCCGGCAACAATCACTTCGAAGTTATAAATCGCGATCTTGAAAGAAAATAAATATTGATGATACGGAGGAAGAAGAGGTTGTGACAAGGATAGAGAAAAGGATACTAAGGTAGCTCGGACATGTAGTGAGGATGAATAAAAGACGAATTGACGAAACATGTTATAAGGCGAGTGTAAACTGACAAGTTGGTAAAGGCCGATGAAAACGAATTTGCCACGAATAAACTGAAGACGTCTTAGGGAAAGGGAAGGTCAAAAGTACCCTTAACCGACAAGAGCGTATATTTATGCATGCTGATAAGGCGAAATATGTGATCGGCAAGTAGAAATGTGAGGAAAAATGCGTGAATGTTCATGTTTTTTCAGTATACATTTGAAAAGTTTATTCATCTGTAATACAAATCTTACCTTCAACACGAAAACAAGTCAATTTTCAATCAACAGTACTGAAATTAGATCTCAGTTTTATGAGTCCCAGCTAAATCGGTCAAGGTTAATGAGTCTCCATTTCCATCAATCAGAGAACTGGAGCCCTTGTAAAGGGCAAGGTGGGAAAAGCTGTTAAAATGGGGGGACGCTACCTGGAGAAAATCTATTTAATCGAGATCGGCTTACAGTGTAGGTTAAATGGAAGATGATAGTTTATTATTAAGTGAGAATAAGAGCCATTGTAGCCAAGTTAGAGAATCGTTGCTTTTATTTGAAAAGTCGATGATTCGAATCTTTATTTTGGAGAATGGGGTGTCTAGTGATATGCTACCTGTCTACATAATTAGGTCAATTAATTTACTGGCGCCTAATTCGAATATATTTGAAGTTACCTCCTCTGACTTTAGGCCTATGTATCTGCATAGAATACGAGCCCTGTACTCCACCTACGGTGGCGCGTGGTCGGGTTTAGACTGCGGAGCGTACTTTTGCTCTTCGGTGGCACAACGGTTAGTACTGTGGGCGCTTAATGAGTAGGGTCTGGGTTCGAAGTTGGTTTGGGTCTGGGTATTCTGGGTATTTCCCGCAGAATTATCGTTATTCAGGTGTTCATTGTACAGGGAATTCCCTTATTTGAGACCAGAAATTTTGTGTGAATGTCTGGCCTTATTTCTTTTGCCTAATTACTTCTCTTTGGTATAGGTTCCAAGAAAAAGTAATCTAGCAGAGAGACGGTCGATATACAACAACGCTATAGGTATCTCATTTCCACTACATCGGGAAGTATGCCTTACATTTTGAACAATTGTGAGATCTAGTATTCATAATAGAGCCTCTTCGCAACGTTTCGGGCTTCGCCCTCCGCTGTCACTTTGTTTAAAAAATTAAAATACCTCTTTAATGGCGGCCATATTTAGAAATTGCAAAAACACATTTTGACCACAAATTATTATCAGACTATCCTAGAAATCCTTTCGTATCAATTTTTATCCAAGTTAAGCAAGTTTTTTCAACTGCCATTTACGTAAAAAAAAAGAACGCTTATTCTGCATGGAATATTACGCAATTCCCTGTGACGGTATGTGCCTATGACTTTAATTTCTATGTTACGAACGTTTCTGAACGTTTACCTCTAATACCTCTCGCTAGCTGTGAAGGGAAATACAAATTCGTTATCGTTATTTCAGCCGAAAGACGTCAACTCAACGATAGCAATAACTATCGGTATCGCGCTGCTAGCATCTAAAGGATTCCCAGAACCTTCACCAGGTCATTAGTCTATTGTGTGGGTTGTCTACCCACGCGTATTGGTGTTTAAATTTACATTCGATCTAAATTCGATGTTTTTGAGGGTCGCAAGATATTAAAAATATATTTACGTACATCTCAATATTCTTGGATTTGATCCGTCGGCACAGTAGACGTGGAAATTTTAAAGCTTCAAAGGGTGTATCGGATATCATCGGGAAGATTTTCTAGGAACGATATTGACGCTTTTTCGATTTTACTTGGAGTTATAACAGATTTAGGTGGAGCGTGAGTAGAAACCATGGACCAAGGAATACACTGACAAGTATTAAATATATCGTTGTAATAATACTTTTAAACCTCCAATGGACATAGAAAGTGACTTTAAATTATGGTTATAATTGGTCGTCGATGGACTGTTTGGTCTGTCTAATCTCCGCAAGAGACCACCGATTATATGCGAACAGTGTACTAGTAACAGTCATCCGTGAACCATAAGGTCGATCAACACAGGAAGTCACGGATTATTTTTAATAATTGTGCATTACCATTCGTCCACTAACCGTATGGTCGGTCACCAACGCAAGCAACTTAGTTGGAGGTCGAGCCAAATGACATTAGACAATTTCAGCAACCAAGTAACCTTTGTTTCAAACCCTGTGTAAACTAACGGTAACATTTTAATGAGTACATCTAGCCGTGGATTATCGTATGTGGTCGTCTACGTCTTGGAGAATTTATTATAGGGACACGTTGAGATGGGGAACATCTTTCAATAGCGTATATATACTTAGAGCGTAGCGTTCAAAATAATGATTCTGGGTCTGTTTATAGATTGTGTTTCAAAAATAATAATATCAATTATAATAATAAACCTGGTGACCGTTGGTCGTCTAAATTAAAACGACTAATCGTAACCGAGAATTCACTGCGGTCACCAATCTGTGTACCTAACCTGGCTATTCACAATCAAAACTTTCTAAATTTATGTACGATAAGGATCATCAGAGAGTCGTGCTTGCGATCCAAGGGGATAGTAAGCAACGCACACGCTAGCGTTAAGTTTCACTGTCATATGACCCGCTGCGATAAGAGTGCGTTGCCGCTTATAAGAAGAAAATATGAAAAAGAAGGGATGCTTAGATAGTTCGGATATGTAGAGAGGACGAATGAAAGAAGATGGACCAAACCAATTTATAAAACGAATGTGAGCGTGCACGTTGGCAAGGCGAACTTACCGTTACCAAATTGAGAACATCTTAAAGAAAGGCCTTGTATAGAGTGCCATCAACTGACTACCGTGTATGAAGGCATTAATATGTGTTAATGAGACGAAAGATGTGTGTCATGAACGTGGCAAGCGGAAAGTCGTGGTCTCTACCTACTCAAAAAAATAAAGAAAAAGTGCGTTAACACTTTATACCTGAATTTATTTACACATTACCACGCCCCATAGTTTAGGTGTAATTTTTTCGTCTAATCCATCCTTTGCATTCGTATTCAACAGTGACCGCTGACCAACACCTGCAACCTACGACCACCTGTTTATGTTATAAATCGCTAGTGTTGGGTAACTGTTTGAAAATTTTCAATTG